TGGAATCAGTCTATTGGAAGAAATCTTAATGACATCCAATGCACTGAACGCTTTCGTTTTTTTTTCGTTTAACGAACATTTACTTTCATCGCTAGTTCGACGCTTGCGAACAGCAAAATAATTTGTGATTCGATCCATCTCGGTATTCTCGGACTAAAAATAAGACAAAATTGATGAAGTGATTAGTCATATTTACAGTCACTGTATCAATTTAATAAATTTAAAATCATACTGTGATGCATTCAGGATACATCATAATTTATTTCGCAATCAAGAAATTTTGTTTGAATAATGTCGAGTCAAGGATGTCGTAAATCGCTGCTTAAAGATTTGTAATATAACTATTGTAATATAACTTCCGAAAAGGTATATGATGAGAACAGTCTTCAAGTTCTCAGAGTCAATAACTTTACACCCGTCATAGAGAAACGAGTTCTTGTTCGAATTAATCTTAAAAATAATTTTGTGCTCCTTAATATCACCAAAAATCGCTGTTAACGTTATTTTTATTTTCAGAAATAGTTTTTACAGAACAAGGGAGAAAACGAGTGGAAAATATATGGAATGGAAAATACAGTGATAAATTACTGAAACTTAATAAACTAATGCCAAAACCGGCAATAAAAGTCTGTTCGTTAGGCAATACTTTTCTTGATTAATTAATTCTGTGGTTCCAGCTTTCCATCCATTTTGCAATCCAATATCCTTCGGATTAGAACAACCATGCAATGATCATCGAGAAATTTTAAATCAAATATCAACTGACTTTAGGCTTCAAGTTCGTATGCCAGTCCTATCCACATTTGATCATTTTTTTGACTAGCTTTTTGATTGATTTTCTCAGAAATTTTATCATTTGATTTAATTGATTCATTTGATATTTGAATTTACTTGGGAACTATATATTATTATCTGCATGATAAGTGAAACTCTTACGAAAAAGATTGAGTTGCTCAATACATATTAAATTTCAGTTTCGGAACATTGTTCATATAACCAATTTCAGGGAGGTGTTTTCAGCATAAACAATAACTTGATCTGAGTGTAATTTCCTATATAGTCAATTATTGTTTCTTTTTGTCAACCTTATGAATTTTTCTTACTGAGTGCTATCAAGCCAAAGTTATAATTTGAAAAAATATCCCTTATTCCTTATACAAAGAATTCCTAGTTTTGTCATTATTATCATTGTCATCATGGAAATAGTACTACAATACAATTTTCAACCACTTTGCAAATTCGAATGCAATCACCAATAGACAAATATTTCTCACCATAAAATTGCCAACTGCACTCTTCGACTGCATTTCTGCTAGATCGTTATTGGTACGGCGTAAATCGCAAATCTGAGGTAGTATTGGTACTTGCTTGTTATCAATTTGAGAGTTTAATATCCGTTGCATGTGATGGTCTGAAAATAAGGGAAAGAAATTCATGAAGTGCTACCAATAAATAAAGTGGACAAATTCTCCTTCAAAAAACTTCGATACCTTAGAAGTGGTATTAAAAATTTTATGATTACAATACATATATTCAAGAGTGTCACTACTTCAATGTTTTAGGACATTTATAACAAAAATGTGTTACTGCAGAGTTCTCCGATTTATAACCAAAATATCGAAATAAATAAACAGAATTGAAGTTTCGAACTTTTGGAACAATTGTTTCCAAAATTTTCTAATTTTTTTGTTCGCCTAGCGCTTTTCAAGAGAGATACTGCAAAACTATCTCGCATTTTGAACATTCAATTAATTACTTTTAAATTTGAGGATGGGTACTTTGAAATTTGTTAATCAATTTATGAAAAATTTTCAAAAAACTTAGAATCAGGGCATTTTCGAAGAATAATAGAGAAGGAAAGAATTTGGGAAAGGAAGTTTAAACATCCGACAATTTCGAACATTCGAGAATAAGTTGAGAGAATTCCCAAAAAGTGTCCCACATCTCAGATAGATTCTTGCTATCAGTGAAATAACACGGCAAAGAGACGTATTACGCATTCTTCCTTCCTCCCACGCTATCACCAAAAAAAATCTAAAAGGATCCCCCAGGACATCGCGTAATTCACGACAGAACGCAGTAACCAAAATGAGTACGTGCGTTTCCATACAACCATTTTAAAATTTTATGTCTACCCATGCGAGCGAGTTGACTATAGAATTTTGAAAAAACAGTACCTTTTCGAACTTTAGGCTTAGATTAGGAGAAATGAATTTGTTGAGGGCAAGATTTCCTTTCTGGGATCTTCAGAACATCCTCACATACCACTCAGTATATCCCCTGCAGCGTTCAAGAATATCTGCAATTTCCGGACTGCCCTCATCTAACAGGATGTCTAAGATATCTTCACGTAGCATCTGCTGATTCACGCATTTTTTATTTCTTCTATTCGTATCGCTTATTCAATCGCTTTTTCAAATACACATATTTGGCCTATATACGTAAAGTAATAAATGTTATCCAAAAAAGTAAGAGATAAGGCTGTGAAGGACAGCCCATTAAAGCGTTCTGATAGTAAGCAAATTTTGTCGATGTCGTCGTAAGAATTGTCATTTTTGCGAAATTCCGCTTACTATTGATCGATTTCTTTTGGAAAAGAGAAATATTTGAATGGAAAAATTCTCCTGATGCCGACAGCATATTGATAGTTCTTCAAATATATCCAAACTCATTTTCTAGTTTTCTTTTTGCAAAAATTTTGACAAATCGTTTTTTTCTTTTCGAAAGTTTATTTCCCGGGAAATTCGCTTCCGTTGCATTAATCAGTTGTATAAGTGATAAAACTAGAAAGTTTTACAACACTTTATTGTAGACGATTAAGTCCGCTAAAGAGACAGCATTGATAACGCGCAATATCCAATATGTTATACTTTTAATATGATCCTTTACTAAAAATTTCTCCTAATTTTCGTCTTCAAGTTTTGAAAATTTCAAACATGATGTAATATTGGGAATTTATTAATTAAGAAAAAATAGATGCTGTTTCACGAATTACGGTGACAATATGAAGTACATCGATGATTGCCACGAAAGTTTCTGCTGTTAGCAGTCAACTGCAAAGTATTTACGAGTACGTTTTAAAAATAACAACACTGTTAATAAGTATACTTATTGAAAATAAATTTTAAAAGTTTTTTTTAACTGCAAACATTTCCACTTCTACTGATCTGTTTGTAAATAGATTACTATCATGCCGACATTTTGATAATATGTTAATAGAATGTCATAATTCTTTAGTGTGCTTTTTTTGCTTATTCCATCGACAAAAAAATAAAAAATTAGAGTTGCTTAAATGCAGAGTGAGAACAAATGTGTCGTTTGCCTAAATTTATCTTACTAAAAATATAACAATTATAGCTAATTTTGCTCTACCAATATTCCGGTTAAATTCAAAAGATTAGAAATGAATATATTGCGAAAAATTCAATTTTTTGAAATCTGGCACTTGAACTCTGGCGGCAAACATTTCGATAAAGGAAGAGATGAAATCGAAGTATTTCACTATGACAATGTCTTTACCAAAATAATATTTTTTTAAAAAAATAATGGCCATTTGTGACATTCCTTTCTGAACTGAAACAACTGTCATTTAATCCAAAGGAATGATTTAGCTAAGCAATATTAACCTTAACGGTTCAGGGTTTCTTTTATGATTCCATTCTCGCTACAACAAAAATACAAGCAGAAGCTAGCAGTGGGAGAGTATGATAGGTAGCGAAATTGTCGTGAACTGAAAATTGGCGCAGGTCGAGCGTGGAGACGAAACATTGAGTAAACATGTGCAATTGGACGAGGTCAATGAACTCATATATTTAGGCCGTTTTGTAAAACTTGTATACATTAAATTTAATTTCTGAGCCTTGAAATCTGATTTTTTCGATACAAGTACAGAAACCTTTTAAATCGAAACTCTCAATACAATATGACATAAAATAAACAGGAGCACAATAATGAAGAAATAATTCAAAAAAAAGCAAAAAAGTAGCATAATACAGAAATCAAAACCATATCTGTTTATCAGAACCCGTAATAACACACAAAAAAGATGATAAACAGTATTTTGATATCACAAAGCTATCAAAGCTCCAGAACAAGAAATTGACAAGCGAAGGACAGTTTATGCAGAGAACAACTAACATGTTCAAAAATGAAGGAGTCATAAAATTGCATGGAATCAGCCAAAACATGCATATGCCTAAAAATCAAAACAATTCATTCTGGCTGGCTATCTTGTCTAAACTTGGGTAGATGAAGGAATATATCAGAAGCTATGAGACATATTTCTGGACTATCCACAATGAAATTTCAAGCCAATCAGTACAGATTGAACTTTAATATAAATTCTAATTCTTTTTTGAAATTCAGCTGCATCGCTTATAATATGCCAGTCTGCTGCTGCAAAACTTTCCCATTCTTGCCCAATTAATACTTAGTAACAGCAATAGCGGTAATATTCATAAAAATACATTTTATAAAGATGCCCTGGAATCAAAATGAAAGACGTGTTTCAAAATCAGATAAATTTCATTTTACAGTAACTGATGATCACATAAAACTCACTATATTTTAGTTTCTCGAAAATTAACAACGGTAGATCACATAGAGACAAAATATCATACAATAAATTAAGTAGCTCGTAAACATACGATAACAAACAAATAATAACGTTCAGCGACTATCCAATTTCAAGCTGCTCCTTTTTTGATAACATCCATGACTTGTTGTTTGTATGTATCCGATAAGCCAGCTTGAAAAAATAGTAAGACTATTCCGTCCTGAAAAACACATTAAAAACACATCTACGATATATACCACCAACGAAGATGGAATGATTTAAGGAACTATTTTATTTAAACTCTTATTTACTTTAAACCTATTTAAAATGCAGCTTATTTAAACTTAGTTAAAATGCTTAAAACTATTTTGAACTCTTTTTAAAATGCAGTTGATTTCAAGAGAAATGCTTCAGACAATAAAATTTTTACTTGACTTATTTTTTCATTTTTTTAAATCACATAACCTGCTTTGAAAAACTTTTAATAATCTGCAGAACTTCGTACGTCATGTCAAAAATCTGTTTCTCAAAAACGTCAATTCCTAAATTCAGTCATCTATTTCAAAATTTCAACTTACAAACCTGGTCGTCACACCTCATAATTTGGAGGACTTTTTTCAAATCAATTTTTTCATTCTGTCGTCCCAGTTGATAAACTAACTTTGCTTTGTTTAGCCACTGTTCCCTTGTATTTCCGATGACAGATGCCAGAACACGACATGTAAGATCATCATCTACAATTGTAAAATTTCCAATAAAATGACAAAATTTGCGGGAAAAAAGTTATTACAAATAAATTATAAAGGCCTTATTAGGAACCAGTTGAAGGTCAAGGCTTTGAAGACAGGATGTTAATCTCATCTTGAGATTACTGACAGACTGATTTTAGATATATGGCCAATCTAAGTTATTCATATCCATTTTTATTTTCAAAATTACCAAAAACATCACAATCTTATAAGATCCAACTACTGAATGAAAAGTTATATTTTACCGAATGTAGCAATTAATGGTACAAACTAAGAATTTCTGCGCCTACCTAGTATGAGCTGTTTATAGCGATTAACAATGGTAGGTGTACCATATTTTGGTGATGTACATTCCGGGTATGCAATCAATGTGAGTGCATAATCTTCGAAATCAAGCAACTTCCTGGGAGACAAAATCTCGACCAAATGTTTCGTCAAAGTTTCATCGACCTCCAATACATTTAGCACAATTAGGAGCACAGCTAACTTTTAAAACAATCTATGGAATGCTTTCTTTATCAAATTCAGCAGAAAAAGAATGGATACTACTGAGATATAGAAAATATGATTGCTGAGAAGTAACACAAACGAAGAGAACAGGATAATATATCAACTCATAATGGTTAAGTTTCCCAAAGTAGTTATAATAACAGATATATTAAATGCAATAAAATGGTTTATGGTCATTTAATGTCTACATCATTAGTTTTTTTTAGCAAATGGATGATTGCATTCTATTGTACTATGGCCAGAATATATGCAATAATGAATGAGCAAGACGGTCCTCTTACATTATCATCCTTAGACGACGAGCTCAACGGGGGTGAAATACAGCTTCCTGAAGAAAGCGAACAGGCTTCTCGTTCTTCTACTGCTGGTTGACTCGAATGGATTTTCCTATATGATATATCCACCAACAAAACCACAATATCAATTGCATCAGGTGATAATTCGGTCTTTTGAGGACACCCAAATAAATTGGATCTGTAAATGGCGTGATTTTGAAATCTTAAAAATCTATTACTCAGAACAGTTATACATCTTTCTTCCACTACAGTCTTTTTTCTTACAGGTCCTTCAGCCTGGATTTTTCCTACAGTATTATAATCTCTTAAATTTTTTGCTAAAAAACCTTTAATAATATATTTTCTTGCATTCTATAAATAATCCGTTACTTCCACAACTGAATAAATTGTAACAGGAAATAAATAATAACGAGGCGAATTAAACTGATATATTCAAAACTTACACAAAAACGTGTCGATATTCTTCAGCATATAACATACGAACACAACCCAATGGCAACAGAGTGGAAAGTGCGAACAGAAAACGTTTAGCTACAGTTTCATTATGACATTTCAGGACAATCTGGAAAAGAAATTTCACATAAATAAAGCCACTTGAGAATGCTAAAAATATCCTATCCATATTACACTTACCAAAAGGAAATTAAGATCCAACAAATAAATTCAGTAGTTTTCCATCCTTTCTATAAAGTAAAATGTAAATTAACCTGACCGCCAGTAACCAATTGTGTCAAAACAATTTCCAGGACACTTTGACCATTAACCTTCGGTAAATTTTCGAGCACGCGTGCAATTTGTCGTAATGTCTCGAAGCAATCCAAACGTCTTGAACAACTTACATCACTAGCGTTTGCTTCATTATCAATTTTTAGCTCACGTTCTTTTATTACAAGCATATCTTGTGTTGGCACTCCGTCCAATAGATATTCTTTACAAAGACGTGTTTGTGTACGCAAGATACAAACCATAAACCTAAAAATTACATAACGAAGATTGTCGAACAGAAGGTTTAAAAGGATAATGGAACATCATTTACAGATGGAAGAGATCTGACATTCCAAAACGACATTATATGGATATGCCATGATTGTAAAACCAAAAACATTACAACCACCAGTGGACAGTTTGTAGAGCAAAGAAATGATTTAAGAGTCGAGATGTTGATTTTGTGAGGAGCCTCAAGAGCCGCAATTTTACTGGTACAGCTGTTTCAGATCCATTAATATTACATCGAAAAAGGGAGAGAAATAGAATTAAAAAAGCTTTACATGTGCAACTGTGTAAAAATATCTGCACGACCAGTGATTATAGCCAAACTTCGTGATGTATCTAATTCAAGCTTAGTAATATGAGCACGCAAAAAATGAGCCGGCAGTAATGAGGCACGTGATGCTGCAGCCTGTTTTAGCATTTCACCAGATGAATTACTTTGCTCACGGTCAAAAACAATGTTCGACTCCATCTAAAAACTTTCAGAACAAAAATTTTGAAAAAAAGATCAAAAAAGGAATAGCCTATAAGAACTATTACTGTAATTTAGCACAATGAATTTTTCAAAAATAGTACGTTTCAACACTGCATCCTATTGTGCATGGAATTCCTCAAATGACCTGACCTATACTCTTTTATAATTTTTCACTTTCTGAAACAATGACATAAAGAAAATAAGTTGAAAGTAAGTTTGTAACTTAAAAATTTAACATAATATTAACCTGCAAAAACTGAATGATAGATGATATTGTTGAAACAAAAAAGTGATAATTGCTAGTGATGAATAATTTATCTATAGATACAAGGATGAATGAGAGAAAACGTAAAAAGCCACGTGCTTTGTAATCACGTAATCTGAAATTACAAACGAAAAGTTAAATAAATCCCCTTTATATGAGAAAAATATGACAAAGATAGGTTACATTTAAAATTTTACTGAGTAAAAAATTTGAGCGCCATAATTTACCTCTTTTCATTTCGGAAATATAGACTTCTTTAGTATTATTATGCGTTATCATGACTAAAAATGATGTTATACCAAACCTAAGTTCCAGCGTACGTGATAAGGAATAATTTCTTAAAGTAAGAAAGTATGCATATAAAATAAAATTCAAATTTATTGAAATAAAACATCAACTAATTTTAAAATCAAAGTTCAAAAATAATACAGATATCAAAAAAATCAGTATAATGAACCTGAATGTGTATGACAATGTATAGCCATGTTCATCATCTCCAAATAAAATCACACCATCCTTTGCCTCCGTATTTACTTCCTCCCATGAACTTTCCCATTTTTTTGTGTCCTGCGGTATTGATGTAGCATGCGGTTTCACTGGACTTAGTTTAGGCGCATTATCCTTCGGGGTAGTTATTACTTCACAACTTAATGAATGAAGACATGAGTATTTCACCAACTGATATACTCGATCATTTAACGCAACCTGAAATGTGATTAAAAAGTATTCGCAAAAAAGCAAGCAAAAGAATAAAACAACAATTAAAGAGTTCTTCCTAAACTCTTAATTTGGTAGAGAAATTAAATCTAAATTTTCTGAGCCTTTTACTAACTGATTAACACAGTAATATTCTTTTAAACAGCCTGCGAGCTACTGAGAGAAAATTTATTGCATTTGATATCCCTCTTGGTTCTGGTAATTACCTTCAAGAACGATAAAAAACAGCAAAGAAGAAACAAATACTTATGTTCATTCGAGAAATTTTGTACCTGTGTAGTAATATAACTTATTCCGGCTTCAACATCAACTGTAATTAGACCGGTACCATCAATGAATGATGTACATGCGACACAGCGTGACTCCTCAGTTAAATGAGTGCGAAAGTTCTCTGAAAAAAGAATAGAAATTAAATTAGATAAAATTAAATGTCACATTAGTTTGCATTCTTCAAGCGATATACTTCTGATAAGGTCTGATCGCACTACAAACACATCTAAAGGGTTAATATTTAATCTATGTCGTATTCATATTTTTTAGTCCATTTTTACATATTAAGTGATATTGAAAAATAAAAAACCAACCGGCAGAAACAAATGTTGATGATCCCTTACTCGTAGTTGGTAAGCAGTAATCTTGTCGAAGATTTTCGGGTATCGACTGTGTTGTCATTAAAACTCGAGGACCGTGAGTTTCACAGAAGTGACACAGCGCTAGCACTGCTTGCATGACAGTACTTTCGCTTAAAATTTCCAAAAATAACCAAAATCTGGAACTTGAATCAAATTATTCCCATCAATAATCAAGTTTTAAATAGGAAACGTCTGGAAATAAAGTATCAATGATGCAAAAAACTAATAACGTAACATACATGAAGTAATGCCAAAGCTCTTCTTAACCAATATTGCCTATAAGTTGAAATATAGGATAATTATGCCTTAAAACGATAGGGAAATTCATAAATCAGATAATCTGAATGGCATTTTTAGTTTAGAAAATTTTAGATTGATCTTCTATCGGACCATTGAATCAAATAATTCTCACTCATGCTCATCTCAAATAGCAAGAAAAAGTTCTAATAAGTTCTCACTATGCTTTCTTCCTCTCCTGTTTTGATATGAAAAACAAACACGGTTAAAATTATTCGCAGGTATGTTTCACCATGGGTACTAAAGTACTGACTAATGAATTGCAAAGTGGAGAGGACAATTGTGCCAATTTATTAGCGCAATTGTCTAACCGAGCAGAGTGGACTGAACAGTTTGAAAATTTTTTTTTTATAGAAAATCAGAAAATCATAAAACGTCATAAACATCTTTAAACAGCATCAAAACCCTTCGTCGGTGATATGTTCATCACAAGAACCTTTTCCTCATGTGAAATTGGGTTCCTAGTGTTGCTGGTGATCTACTTCGTTTCAAGTCACTAGCTATACTGGGACTCTCTGATTTTATCAGAGAAGTTACAAAAATATAAAAGCTCTTTCACTCTCTGACTTTATATTTTAATTTCTCCACTTTCCCGATCATTGCGCTATCTGTTCCATTGCATCCTAAAATCCCCCTAATTGTTTGTCTCGTATTCTGTGTTGAACCGACCCCAGTACAGTAAGGATATTACTTCCAATCTTCCCAATTTAGTTTCTTGAATCACTATACATTGGAAATATTACCGTCGTCTAGTTTCTCCATTTCATTAAAGTAATTCACCACCTTTAACAAATTACAGTAATAGAGCATACAATATAACAATAACAAATTAGAAAATTAGAAAATGAAGGGAGAAAATTTAATTTCCCTATTCATAAAAGAGATTTTCAATGAATCCAGAAAATTTTTAGTCTTAATTAAAGAAGTCTTAACTCACAATTATAATATAGTACAAAAAAGTAACTATAAATAACCCCAAAAATGGAAAAACAAACTTCAAAATTTGAAAGTTTGTATATTTCGAAGAACAATCTCATACTGAGGTAGTAAATCATGGCTATATTAAAATATGAATAAGGACACGAAATGCATCCAAAATAGTATGAATGCAAGGAAAAGCAATTATAATCTAAGCTAATAGTTATTTCACAACTTTCTCATATTTCATAGATTGCATTTCTCTAAACATCACCATCTGAATTCTCATCACCCGAATTACTGCTTTCTTCTTCGGTAGTGGATTCGAACGTTCCCTCAGGCAATGAGTAAAGTCGTACTGCTTGCTGAAAATTAAAAAAACCTAGTCGAGTCAGTTTATTCATGTAGCTGAAAAAATAACTTTTCAGTCTTTTTTTTAAATTAGGAGTACTGAAAAATCAATCTAATGATGCACACATGATCCATATAAAAATGCCAATGAACCGACGAAGTGTGAGCATAGCACATCAGAAGAACATAAACATACCGAGCAAAAACCTAATTCTGTTATGTTTTATCTCCAACCAATCTAGAAAGTAACGAAATACTAATTATTTGATTGAGAGATAAATTCATTTAGCTATCAGGATTTATTTTTATTATCATCCGTTAGAATATTGCCTACAGATTCCTCTGATTATGCTTCCTGTTTCAGTCTTCGGTAGTTGAAAACAAAATCCGAACCTTATTTGGATCTTTTAGCAAAAGATATTTTCCTGGTGGTTGCTTCATGCAGTGATCAATGATACAGCGCAAGATGCCCCACGCATTATCCAAATTCAATGTAATATTTGTCGCAAATTCAGTTGGCTTGTATTGTTGAGTGCCGAGAATGACGTGGCTAGCACTATTGCGTATACTCAGCCGTGAAACGTATCTAAAAATCTCGGGATAATTTTTAGAATTAAATGGAAATTTCCAACAATAACAGAAATGAGAAAGAAGTAAAAAGACAACCGAAAATGCTACTCAAAAAATGATGAAAAAGTTACCACCATTAGGACCAAAATGTAAGAACTTCCATTACAACAGTAAATGTCGCTGTACCAATAACGTAATTTCATGCTTATGTCATTTCATGATTACGTTAAATCAAGCCTTTCTCATGTCCGTCAAACTTCTTTCAATTTGCAGTTCAATTTTTAATAGCCACTGTTTCTAGTTATCTGAAAAACACAAACCTACCCAAATTTAATTTGATCTGAACCAGCCAAAAGTGCTTGCAGTGTCCATTTCGCTAGTTTACAGCTGTTATTTTGTAGTTCCGTAGCAAGCACTGCACCTTTCTGCGTGTCCAGTTTACTTCTCCAATCGACACCACTGGCCATCTGGAAAATTAATTGTCAACCCAATCTAATTTTTTTTGACAGATTAACTATTATGAGTAAATAAAAGTGTTCAATTATCATCGAAAATTTTATTTTACAACCATTATTTAAATTTACGTTTCTTTTTGATTTGAATATTTTTATATTTTTAGTTTATATCTTTAATTTAACCCTCGAATCCCATTCATTGAATGCCTTTATGGTCAACATTTGTGTTTCGCCGTTCGGTCCTAAAGTAACACCGTCGTGCTCTGTACGGCAAATAAGACGAACTTCAGTACCATCTGTTTGACGTCCCAAACACCATGAACGATACCTATAATTCATTACAAATATCGAAGTTTTGATTATGATAATATCCCGTTATACCTAGATTTCCTGGCTCTAATTCACGTTTTCTGCTACACCGAGACAAAGCTCTACGAAAGGAATTCGGATCTGATAAAGAGGTTTTATATAAATACAAATTGATAATTCTGTTTACTTAATAAACATTTAGCACAATCAGTGAATATTATAAGTTTAAATAAAGTAAATCGAAAAATTAATATATTAAAACTGATTAAAAAATGCAAAACCAATAAATGATCTCAAAGGCAATTGGTATTTTTTTAATTTCAATCAAAACACGTCAACAGTAATGTTAAAATATCAATGATTGGTTATTCTGAAACATCAAACAATACCAATAAGTCTAATGAAACAAATCCCGGTTTGTCTATATTGCTAGCAAGAAAAAAACTGACACATCAACACTCGAAAATCGCATAAAACTAACTTGTATGCAACACATGAATCCGCATCTGTATCACCTTCATCGAACGGAAGACGTGGATTGTCATATTTGAACGGTTCTTCGTTCTTAAATTTATTCGCAAAGTACAAATAATTTCAGTGTTACTAGCAACAACTGTCCAAACGAATGTCTTCAAGATATATAAACTCACTCTTTTAAGTACCATACGACGGAAATTTTGATTTATGTAGAGCGCCTCTGTAGCAAGATTACGTGGATGATTAATACTTGTGGTATCGTCACTATTTGGAGCATCTGGTGAAGTTTCGCTCACTGTTAAAGCATCTAAAATTCGAAAACATGGAACTCTTAAGGTATCTTTCAGTCACATGGCTAATGGAGTAAACGAGAATGTTGTTAATCCAGCAGAAACAGATTTAGATCAATTTAATAGAAGAAATATATTGCGGGGCATTTCAGGGGCAGTCAGTGAACATAATCGATTATCTTTAGGGAAATATACCATTTAAATAGCTTATGCCAAGAAAGTATATTATTACGTAGAATTAACGAGCAAACGAACGTACCAACTGGATTTGAAAAACCACCAGTATCGCGTTTATCAAAAAATAACTTATCACCAACACGATAAGCGATAACATCCCAACTATAGACTGATCGCGTAGCTGCCATCAGTGTTGCCAATATCATATCTGTTGCAAAGACATTCCCCGCATTTTCTTGAGCCAACTGAAAGCAGTTTTTTGATTAATAAAACTATATGACCGACTATCCGTTACTGACACGACAAAATGAAACTGAAATTGATCTTGACTTCGAATAAAAAATATAAGAACTCAAAGTAAAGAAGTTATGCACTCAACCTTCTGGATTATAGGATCTTCGGTTGTCGTTAAATTATAAAATGTACCGCCACAACGTTGCAACGGTTTTTCCGTCCGTACGGTAACACGATCGAACGCTTTATCGTAATAATAAAGTTGACCATAACGATGACCATTTCTGAAAAACATCTTAGTACAACTGTAAAATCTTGAATTGATAATTCATCACAATTGGTACTTTCAATCACATAAACTCCGTTAAATCTCACCTATAATACCTGATAGTGCGTTATTACAACGATAAAGTGACTAAAATGCATACATATCACGGCCTGATTCAATGTTCGGCAGATTAAGTTTTGCAAGGCGTGGAAAATCCATTTCTTCTAAAACTTGCCACTCGGGACGTACAGCAATACTAGCAGCTAACTGTTTTTGGTTACGTTGATCCCATCGACCATAACCTTGACCACCACGGCCACGACCACGCGTGCCACCTCCACGTCGTTGCCACTGTTTGAATGCTTTCTGCTGTTCTCTTAAAAAACTAAGTGTCGTAAAAAATAAAAAAATCATGAATTTTTTAAATTTTCGATGACAAAAAACAGTATAATTTCATTCCAACTCACTTTGCGATACTACGTTTAATCTTTTGATTTTGTCCATAATTTGCTTGATTTCTCCGCTCATTCTCTTTTTGCACCAATCTTCGCTGTAAACAACGCAAGAAACATAAAAAAAATTAAGAGACACGCAGACCGCATAGTAGTGAATAAAACATGCATTTTTTTTGAAAAGTACTCATTTTCAAAAACTTTTTCATTAGATACCTCGCTCATTACTGTGGCACTATAATTTAATTACTTATTCTGCACAGTCTTGCATCGTAGTTATTTTATTTGATACAGTGCTC